CCCCCCCCTCCCCCCGCCCCCATCCCCACACCTCCTCCACCCCGCCCCCATCTGGCTGCCTTTCTTAGTCTCTAGGCAATTTCACAACTGAGAAACCTGATCCCTCCCCACATGGAGAAGCAAGCACCTGGTGACCTCCAGACTCTTCCCAGCAGCATGTCTTTGCATAAAATCAACCATCCTTCTCACTCAGCTCAACACCTCAGCATATGTTCTCTTCTAGCCTATTTAGCCAAATACTAAATGTTAATTTCAAAAGTCAGAGGAGGGCTTGGGAGATGGCTCAGGGGTGAAACAAGGTGCCTGCCATGCAAGCTTGAGAACCAGAGTTGGATACCAACAAACCTCCGTCAATGCCAGTGGGAGGGGCACTCACTAGCAATTCTAGCCCCCCTCTCCCCCCTCTCTCTCCCTCTCTCCCTCTCCCTCTCCCCCCTCTCTCTCTCTCACACACACATGCACCCACTTACACTTGCATCCACACATGCAAACACATGTCTGCACACATACATACATCCCATACACATGCACATGAAAAGGTCAGTGGAGATCTGGGGACGTGGCTCAGTGACGGAGAGCTACCTAGAGCTTGTGAGGCCCTGGTATATCCTCCCTAGCACCAGAAAGGCAGGCTGGAGCAGAGGAAACCAAAGGAAGTGGTTTCCTCGACCCTAGCCTGAGGAAAATAACTCCCTGAGAGCGGACGATTTAGCTGAGACTTCTGCAAATCAGCTCAAAGTCAACGTCCCTATTAGAAATGCCTCCTGGAAGAGATTTTCAGGTATGTGCAACATCCAAAGGACAGGGATGTCCTTAAATCACAGCCTCTCAAGACAAATCCCCCGATCAGATTTTCAGAACACTGGCTAGCTTCCACTCCACTGGCAACTTTCCAAAGACAGTGTCTGTCTGTGCTTCCCTACCGGATGGATGCACAGGAACCCAGCTGTAGCTCAGAGCAACACTGCAGCTGCTAGGCAAGGGCCGCTTCGGGGGCCCCCTGCACTGTAAACAAGTTCCGGTACTGAAATTTCAAAACCAAAGGCTATTTCTATCTCCTTAAGAACCAGAATCACCAGCATGAAGAATATGGACTGATCAGGCCTCGTAGCAAGGCTCTGGGTCTTTCCCCAGAACACTTACAAGGAAAGGAGGCTCCAAGGGACAGCTCCCTGAGCTCAGCAGCAGAATCAATTTTGAAGAGCTAATTATCCACAAAAGGCAAGGGCCCTGGGACAATTCAGAGACCAGCAAAATCAACTGGCCACTTGTAGCTAGAAGTAGAATGCAATTAGAAACTGTTTTTCTTGGTCATGTTAATTTCCCCGATGGATCTAGCTTAGCCCAAATCTACCTGTCCTCGGAAGCCTTGTATACACAGTGTAAGGGAATTCTCTGGATTTCAGTAGAGAGGAAAGAGTGTTGACTTGTGGAAGCCTTGAAATGGAACTGTTGCTCCTCCCATGTTATTCCTAAACACAAGAGCTCACCCCTTCATCACACACA